TTTCCCTCCTTTTTTCCTTCTCTCCCATCTGCTGTTCTCTTTTGCACCTTAAGGCCTGTTTCTCAAACTTTTCCCCCAAGGCACCCCTAACGGCCATGTAGACACCGAGTCAGCATTGCTGACTACAAAGGTGAAATCACTTCATTTTCTCTTTAAAAAAAAAATAGTGTGGATTGTTTTTATTCTATGCCATATTTATTTTAATTTTTGAAAAAAAAATGCTTCAGACCGTTTATCTGAATCTAAATGTAAACCTAGATGACATTAGGTTGATGCTTTGGGAAGGTGGACCACAGTTTCCTGGGCCATCTGAGAGCATAGTCTGAAGCCCCCAAAGGCCTCTCTGGGCCCCTCAAAGACCTACAGAGCACCCACCCGACCAGGAATACCTCCCGATCTCATGCTGTGTGGATGGTGCCAGGTAGAGAGGGAGCCCCAGGGCAGCCCACCAGATTTACTCTGCTTGCAGAGTTCAGAGCCCCTCGGTGCCAGTCTGGAGAGGGGGCTTGGCGCCCAGGTGGCGGTCACACGCAGATACCGCAGCATCACTGGCTTCTCCACCCCAAACGCCTGCTGCCTTGGCCCCGGCCCCTCCCCTCGGCCAGCTAAGGAAAGCAAGCTCTAAGACAAATCTGGTCCCATCACTGTCCTGCCTAAACCCACAGCGGCATCCATTACGCTGAGAATAAAGCGCAAATGCCCGGCATTGCCTGGGCCTGCTGCCCTCTCCAGCCCCATTTCCCACGTGTCTCTCTTTCGCTCACTCTGTCCAACTACGCTGGCCTCCACACTGCTCTTTAGAAGCACCCAGCCCATTTCCCGCCCCGGGCCTTCACACATTCAGATCCCTCCGGCGGGGAAGGGAACGCCCTTCCTGCCGAACACTGCAGAGCTGCCTTCTCCCATGACCTTCCTGACCACTTGCCTAGAGAATCCCCTCCAGCACGCGTGCTGCCCGCGCTGTCTCTCTCACCCAGCTTATCTTCTCCATCCACCTACTGGCTTCTGGAATTGCCTTGTTTATTTCTCTGCTCCTCACTTATGGTCTGTCTCCCGCCCAAGGAGGTCAGTGCTATCATGGCAGGGATTCAGAGATAGAGCTCACGGCTGACTCCCAACAGCTAGCACAGGGCCCGGCAGCCAGCAGGTACTCAACAGACATTTGCGGAATGAATGAAAGACTGAGGGGAAGCAAGAAAAAGGGCCAGAAAGTAGAAAGGCTTTTGCTTTTAGCACTGGATAGCGGACGTCCGGGCACCTCTCCCTCTCCCTCCCTCTCTCTCTCTCTCCCCCTACCCAGTGGGGAGGCAGGGGCAGGGCTACCTCTGCACAGTGTACACGCAGTGATGCCGACTGGAAATATGCAAGTCACGAGGGCCTCATTAAAGCCTCCCCCTGACACCTGCTTCCAGTGACTCACGCCTGAAAAGTAAGTGTTCCGGCTAATTAGCCCTACCCTCCGGAGCCTGGTGGGTGTCATAGAGATCAGGCACTGCTGTCACCCGTAATAATACCTTAGATTTATGGAATGAGCTTTGCCCCCCTCCGAAGTGGCTAAGAGAGAACGGAAGACAATTGAAAACGCAGAACAGAGAGAAACGTGACACACAAAGAGCCTTTAAAACTCCAGGGAGGGGAAAGCACATACCCTTTGAGGTGGGGGGAGCCCAGAGCGGGCCACGCTGGGAGGGGAGTCACGCGCCCACCACACCGAGGGCAGAGGAGGAGCTGGGTCACTGAAGGTCTAGGTTTCTGGCATCTTCTTGCCCAGATTCTCATCTGTGCTGGTGGCTGAGGTGGAGGCCCAGACGCAGGCACCTCTCAAGACCTCCCTTGAGGGACAAAGGGGGTTGAGATACTGACCTTCACACCCAGAGTGGTGCTTAAGGATCCTTTGACCTAACTAAGAATCCGGAGGCCTCAGGACACCTAACTAGCCACTTCTAGGACCATCATCGACTTGACTACAGTGGCTTTCCCACTCTTTTTTTTAGCAAATATGAAACCTGATGAAGAAGCCCAGCTGAAAATTGGACTGAATAAGGGCTGTTCTGTTGGAAGTTGGGGGCACAGTTCTCCCAGTCCTAAGGGCACCTCCCTTTTGACCCCGGTTCAGGCAGCTAACTCCATGCAGTGAAAATTACGGTGAGTGAAAACGGCTGCTCTAGGGGAAACGGCAAAGCAGACCTTTCCCAAATTTGTCTTATTTTTTAGGTCACATGGACATCCCCCATCTACAGTTGAGCTCAGGGCTTCCCTGAGACTCACAGTGGGGACTGGGAAAGGCTGATTTCACAGTACAGATTCTCAGCCCACCTCTGAGGAGGGCTGGGACCTCTCACCTCGGGCACAGAATTTAAGGGGGAGTCAAAAACAAAAAACCTTAGTAATCAAGATAAATCATATTTCAATGCAATATTTTTAAAAACTTAAGACTGATGCGAAAATCCCCTGATGAACAAAATAAAGACAGGATCTGCCTTTGCAACTGCATAACTCTGACCCACATACCTCTCTTTAGTTCCGGTCCTGACTGGACACCCCTGCCATATCCTGCAGGACAGTTCCAGCCAGCCAAGACAGTCCCCCAGGAAGCACAGGTGGGAGCCTTTAGCACCTGGCACCGCAGCTGCTGGGCATGGGCACCCTTCCCACTGGAGGGGATCAGAATGGCCACCAACCCCACCTCCTACCCCAGTGAACATTTGAGAACCAGGCCCCTGCCCTCATGGGGCCCGCACAGTGACGGGGAGAGAGAGAGAGACAGAGAAATGAAAATTGAAGAAAACAATTTCTAATGTTGGTGAGCACAGGGTGACCTGGCAGACAGCGACGGGGGCCAGAGGAGAGGTGGAGAGCAGCCCCTGAAGAGAGTCAAGGAAGGACTTTCTGAGTAGGTGACATTGAAATGGGGACCAGGAGGAGGGGAAGGGGCAGCCATCCAAGCAGAGGGCACAGCCAGTGCTAAGCCCAGAGGTGGGGAAGCCCTGGACATCCCACCCGCTGTCGAGGGAGCCTGTGGGCACATGGCCCCACTGCGAGAATCCTTCCTCCTAGGGAGAAAACTCAGATCTGCAGAGTTGACACTCTTTGAACAAACATTTCCAGAGACCTTACTCTGAGCCAGGCCCTCTCAGAGCAGCTGGGGACAAAACAATAAAACAACAGAACTGGACTCAGTCCCTGCCCCAGAGGTGCTTATTATTTTAATGGAGAAAAAGACACGTGAATAGAAGACACGTGGGATGATGGGGGTGCAGGCGCAGCGAGCTGTACGAGCATGGAGAACGACATCAACTGGGAATTCCCTGGTGTTCCAGTGGTTAGGACTCGGTGCTTTCACTGCCAGGACCTGAGCTGGATCCCTGGTTGGGGAACTAAGATCCTGCAAGCTTCACAGCACAGCCAAAAAAAGAAAAAAAGACACCAGCTAAAGGAAGCATGATTTTCACTCAGATTTACATTTGCTAAAACGGCCACACATACATTTTCCTCCAGAAAAAAAAAAAAATAGTATATTCCTCCTAACACTGGTTCTCCTATATATCTCCATCCAGTCCTGTTAACTTATATCAGGAATCTGGCCACTTAACCTCCTCCAGTGGTCCAACCCCCATCCTCTCCCACGGGGATTGTTGCTGAAGCGCCCTCCTTGATTCCCCTGCTCTCCTGCTTCCCCTCCCATCTGTTCTCTGCACAGCACCAGACGGACCCTGTTGAAACGCAACTCTGATCATACTCATCCTCTGCACAGAGTGTCTCCCCCAACCTGGTGACATTCCATCCCACTCAGTCAAAGCCAGTGTCTCTCGCGGCCCCAGCTCCCTGAACTGGTGTCCTTGTCTCCTTCTCATCTCTCCCTTCAGCTACACCAAACTCTTTATTCAATGAACAGACCAAATACAGTCCCTCCTCAGGGCCTTTGCACTTGCTGTTTCCTCTGCCTGGAAGACTCTTCCCTAAGGTATATCCATGTGCTCCCTCTCTTTATTAGGGTCTCTGCTCAAATGTCACTTAAACAGAGAGCCCTTATCTGACCTCATCCCCACAGCCTGTATAAAAGACCATACTCCTAGCATGCCCCCAGTGTATTAACCATGGCTTTTCTTTTCTGTATTCTGATGCTTTGACATCCGGGACCTTGCAGACCCTGCAAGGACTGCTCCTTCCAGGGACAGCCAGTTCCTAGAGATGGTAAACCACTCACCCGCAAACGTGCTTTTCAAATACAAACCAACCAATCCGGATTCCATACCCTTAGCCACCTCCTTCCACCTCCCTTTTGGGGCTCTCACACACCAGGCCACTGTCCACATGCCCTCATCACCCCAGGGCCAGATCAGACAACCAAGCACAGCCCTATGCCCCAGGGCTCGCTGAAATTTTTCAAACTAGCCAATCCTAAGCCTGCTTACCCTGCCTCACCCACTCCTTCCCTCAAAAACCTCAGTAAAGTTCTTGCCCACAGTTACCCCCTCCCTCTGCCTCTGACCAGCCCTTTGCTTCCCCATGTGTCCCCCCACGATGTGGCATGCCCCCTTCTCTTGGGAACTATGAGTATAACAAACTGTCTTTTCAATGGCAATTGTCTCCCGATCTGTT